CTCCTTCCAGGATGGTGTAAAATCCTTTTAAAGGTGGATTCCCCTTAGGACTGGGGCCCCTTGTCCCTGACTACCTACCTTCCAACTAACCTTCACGAATACTACCTAGAGTAAACTCTAGGCTTTGTTCCCTTTTTGCCAGTTTTCCGCTTATGCCCTGTTCCAGTTCATGGACAAATCAGAACACCCTCTGCATTTAGTTTTCATGTCTCTTTCATCTCCTCTGGTCTGTGACAGTTTTTTGATCTTTTCTTATCTGTCGTGACCCTGAAAACACTGGCCAGGTATTCGGGAGAATATTCAATTTGACTTTCTCTGATTTCTTTTCAAAGATGAAACTGGGATTATGGGTTTTAGGGAAGAACTTCTCAAGTGCCCTTAGCACTCTTGAGGTTATCAAGAGGGGCATGTGTTATCAAGAATTTTCGCTGACATTGTTTGATTACCTGATTAAGATGGTATCAGCCAAGTCTCTCTACTGTGAAGTTAGTTGTCATCCCTTTCCAGAATACACGCTGACACACACAAACAGATGTATTAAATTCTACTTTAGAGGAGACTGGAATCTTGCCAAACACATGGGTCCATCAGAGAAGACGGTACTGAGGACACCAGAGACCCTTGGAAGACATTTCTCAGAAGCACTATCATGGTTCCTCCCACAACTCTGTGAGTCAGAGCTCATTACAGTGATGTGAGTAATTATTCCAAACAGATACAGTCTTAATTGTCCTCTGCAAGTGAGAAGCAACAGATATTTAGTATGGACATACAACAAAGCCATTAGTCCATTACAAAACAGTAATGTACAGCTAACCCAACAATGATAATTTGTGGACATAAATAAATAATCTAAAACTCATAGCATTTGCAGATGTCTAAACATAATGTATCTGAGACACACCATGTAGGAATTAAATAGAAAGACTAATATTCCTCACCTAATCTCAATAGTCAAGAACTCCAATTCAGACATAATGCATAGAAACTATTCTACTACATACAAGTCACAATCCAATCCAATATCTGCTCAGGCTATTGAAATAATTTTTAAAAACAATATGTAATAATCCCATAGTCTTTATGTAGTATTTAATTGTAATTATTGATATCTGTGTGTATAAAATTTAGGCATTTGCTCTTATTCATATAGTACTGTTTTAGCAGCCTACATTCTTTGATTGAAAAACTGATTAAGAAAATAATACGGTACAAGGGAGATAAAATGCATTAAAGTTTCAGCAAATAAAACTAGTATGCATTTAAATCTATACAACCAACAGTGTGCAATTAATGACAACTTTTCTGCCCAAATTTTGTCTAACGCTAAATCTGTGTTTAAAACCTCAGAGACTATCCCTACTGGGGAATGCCCTTCCTGGGGGGCAGAGGGTGACCAGAGCAATACCGCGACCCCTACGTGCACAGGTCTCCACGAGCATGGCAGCCGTCCCCTCCAGTGGTGCGCTCATGGCCACCCACGACTATTACCAGTGCCGCCTGGGCTCCACTGCCAGTAACAGCTTTTGCAAAAGTGCAGAGTATGCTGGGGAAGCCATCCCTCACCACCTGGGTCTCCCCAAGGCCGACCCAGGTCACTGGTAGGCAAGCTTCTTCGGGAAGTCCACTCTCCCATTCAGGGCTACAGTGTCAGAGTCCCCAGAATGCTCAGCGTCTCCTCAGGCTCCAGTGGCAAGATCACCTGTGACTTGATTCTAGAAGCCGTGAGGAAGCAGCCTGGTGGCCAGTCTGGCAAAGCCAACACGGGCAACCAGCCAACCTGAGTGGTCACAGCCAGGATTCGGGAGGCACTGATTTCATGAGAGCCCCTCCCCTCCCTTCCCTGTAGACTAGGCAGGCTGCCCCAAGCAGAAGCAGTTGGGTTCTCTCATACCAAAATAGCAAAACACCAAAAAGGAAGTTGAGAGAATCCCAGTCTTTACTATCCAAGCCACAAGCAAACCTTCCTCACACCCTGGAACTGTGTGCCTTGCACCAAGTGGAAAATAAACTCCAAGCAGCCAGTAAAAAAATAAATAAATAAAATAAAAAATAAAATCTCAGAGATTGAAATAATGAATTCTATCATCATATAATAGTAGGAAATATTCCAAATTGTATTTTATAAGGCCTATTATTCTCAGGGCCTTATAATCTACATTTGTTTCTACTTCTTCCTAAACAACATTCATCTTACATTTTTAGAAAGTTGGAGCAATAGCTCATAATGTTTGCCACCCAATTCAAAGGTTTAGATCTCAAGTATGCATCACGGCATCAGAAAATATATGTGCTCTTTGAAGATCCAGTCATATCAGATGGCATCCTGATAATGTATTATTCATAACTCAGTTACAGATAAATAATGTGGTAACATGAAAGCAAAGCATTAAAAAGTCACATGTATGGGTAAACCCTTTTGCAAAAGAATAAAAGTTGAGGGTGAACAGGTTTAAAATAGGTAAGTAAATAAATAAATGTAGTGATTTAGGGAAATTTTAGAAAATTAATCACATGTTCTGGATAGTAAGTTCCTTTAGGGTAAGGACAGACTAATTCAAATTCTGTAAAGTTCTAAGATGTTACATAGTACAGTTTCTTAACATATTAAATATTACTTTATCTCATAATTAACATTTTAAAGTATATGTTAGAAAGGTAAAATCTTACTAAGAAATATAGACACTTTGATGACAAATTCATGTTTATAATTTATAACAGTAAGCAGAAAAACAGAAATGTATGATAATTTGATAGGGCATTAGGTGGAGTAGTATAAAAGATTTTCCTATACAGTTGAGTGCATTTTAAGTAGAAATTGTGAACAGCCCTCATCTCATGAAGATCTTACTTGGGGTAGGAGCATCTTTTATTATTTTCCTTGCTAATTTTTCTAATTTCGCTTTTCTCTTGCTGTGACATTAAATCAAATGAAACACTGTACCTCCAGGTTAAATGTAAAGTTGAGTGGAAGCTCACAGATACTCTATTTCATCAGATTTACTATAACCTGAAGATTGTATTAATGAGACCACGCGGTTTTCATTGTGAGACATAGAGCCGTCCGTTTATCCAACAGACACTTTTTAGAACACCGAACTAATCACACTGCTGTCCATCTTAAAACTCTTCAAACTCCCTGCCACTTGTTCACTGAAGAGCTATCCATCTCCCTGAGTACCGAGTATCTATCCCAGAACGCTCTTCTTCCCTCTGCCATGCAACTCGATTATGATGTCTCAGCCTTCTCTAAGAAGCCTTTCCCCTACCCGTGTTGTGTTCGACTCTCCTGTGCATTCCTATAGAGCACAACACACACTCAACAGTCACAAAGCACCTCTTCCACACAAGGTGTGTAAGGCGTGAACAAGACAGATCTGTCCTAGGTTTGCGGGCTATATGGTCAGGCTGGGAAGAAAGGCTTCCAGTAAACAATTAGAAATAACTACCGCAAGTACTGGAAGTGTTCAGAGTGCCTTGGAGGAGAACAGAGGGGGTACAGACACATAAAGAGGCAGAACCTAACCTGGAGGGATGGAGAAGAGAAGGCCTCCTTAACAACTTCACCTATTTTGCTGTTGTGGGACAGGCAAAGAGAAGGAAAAATTTTGAAAAATATTCAAATCATGGGCAAAAAAAATCTACGTAGAGGAGATGACACCTCAAGGCAGAGAACGAGAGGGACTAGGTTATCTTTTCCGAACAAAGAGAAAAAGTAGTGCAAGATAAACTGGAGAATGTGTTGAGCCTAAATCATGCCAGAGGCCTGAGGCAGCTGTGGAAGTGCACTGCTGCTTTTCCCCCAGAAAGAACTCTCTAGGGCTGTGAGGGGGGCAGCTGACTGTCATGGCCCCGTGGCAACTCCAGGATGCAGCACAGTGAGCCACCAAGGCCACAACCTTCCCTGAGAGCTTCCCACCCATGACTAACCACAACGGGAGGAGGAGGGTCTAGTCCTTTCTGCTCAGAGCAAGATTGCTCTAAAAGGTCTTGATTCTGTCTTCCCTATTGGATTATCCAAGATCTTACCAGACTGGTTTCCCAGATGATATCTACATCTAATGCCTGATTGCCCTCTTCCCTCAGTTTGAGGCTCTCTCTGAATTTCAGTGTTAAGTTTGAGATATGATTATTAATTTTCAGACTTAATGACCAAATATTGTATTACAGATACAGATACTACCAATTTGACATATATAATTGCATTCCCAGCTTTCAATAATTTCAGTGTTGATCCCAGGAAAACTGAAACACCAGTTGTGAAGAATTTATAATTTCTTTTCTAAGAAACTCAAAATCAGCTATGTCTGGATAAAGCAGGTAACTCTCAATGGGCTGTGTTCTGTTTTTGTTAAACACATATTTAATTACAGCAATTTATTGCTAGAAATAGCACAATACATTTGTTATTGTTCAAGCTACAACAGAGATGGGAAATGTTCACTCAATTACTTTTGTTCAGTTTGTACAATGTGCTACTTGTCAATTAGGATAATAAACAAGGCTTGTCTTCAAAGACAGAAACGTAGCAGACTCTTCTCTGAGTTCAAGTTGATCATATTTTGCTTATGTAAGAGTTTGTAATGATGACTCATGGGCCAAATATAGGCCACACTTGCTTGTTTTGCCCTCATAATATTTAAACACACATATAAAAAGAAAACACATACAGGTCTTCATGGAAATGATGAATGAGAGATGAAAAGCTGCTACTCATATTAGGCCAAGAATGAGCTGCCAGTTTCAGTAACTTTACATAAGGTCCACTTTACCCGTTTTGTGACTTCACCACTACAAGGTATTTGAATCTTTGACCTCTGTTTTAAGTGCACACATTAACACTTTGGCAGCTAAGAACAGATTTATCCAATATACAGGAAAAATATGACAGCCAAAACATTGGCACAAGAGTTACCACTTCAGAGGAGTAAAAACTTTAAACAGGATCTTTGACATCCTAGTACTAAGACTCTTAACCACTAAAAAGGTATGTATCTTACCTGTAGGTGTTTTTCTTCTATCTTTTTTTGGAGAAGTTCAAGACACTTGGTGAAGTCAGTATGGTCTTGGTCAGGTGTTGAAATAATCTCACATCCCTATGTGTTTAAATTAAGAGAAAAGGTAAGAATATATAATGATGTCAGCCTTATGATGAACAAGATCAAACACTATAAAACTAAAGAAAAGGTATCAATAGATATAGTCTATTATGCCTACATTATACCCCAATCATTAGTACCATTATCTTTTTTATTTCACATAAGAAGACATCTCAGAAATGGTGTTAGAATATCACAATAATGGTCTGATTATGACGATCATTTTATTCAACAAAAGTACAGATTTATACTACATTAATGGTCTTTAAGAATCACTGCTGTGATGACATTAGAGATAAACATAAGGACTCTGGTATAAGTATTATAAAATATATTCACAGTAAAATCACCTGAAGTTAAAGTGAAACTTTCTCTTTTTTCTTTTTTTTTTTTTAAGATTTTATTTATTTATTTGACAGACAGAGATCACAAGTAGGCAGAGAGGCAGGTGGGGTGGGGCGGGGGGGGGGGCAGGCTCCTTGCTGAGCAGAGAGCCCGAAGCAGGGCTCGATCCCAGGACCTTGAGATCATGACCTGAGCCAAAGGCAGAGGCTTTAACCCACTGAGACATCCAGGCGCCCCAAAATGAAACTATTTCTAAAAAATAAATGTGAATTTAAGCAGACCTCCTAAGTTTACTTACGTGAATGGAAAAACTTCTGGAACTAATGATAAAACTACATTTTAAGTAAAATCAACTCAGCTCTTATATGAAATTCCTTTACAGCACCTTTCTTACCCAAAGTAAAAAGAAGCATGAAGAGCTACACCTGCATAAATATGTCTCTTGGATTACCTTTTGGACATAATGAAGTGAATTTATATGGTCTTTGCCTCTTCTACACCAGATACCTTACAGCGAGAGAAAAACCAGGATTATATTTGTGACTATGCAGCCACAACAGTGCCAGCTTGTTGGCACTCCTGGACTTAGACAGCTAGAGAAACGGTATTTCTGAAATGACACCTTATCCTTCACTGTCTTGCAAAGGCAAAGGCATGTAAAACCAGAACGCGGGACTTGAGACTTCTTAATTCCCAAATGTAACAATTCGTGGTCTCTCATAAACAGCTGAGTAAGGGGAAGTTAAATATAATCCAGTATATAAAGTTGCCATTCAAAGAGTTTTCAAGGATACAAAACACCCATACTGTCTCCTAAATTATTCCAAGAACTGTTCTCAGTAGATTTAGTGGTTCTTCTTTAACTTCAAGGTCTCTGTAAACGTGTCAAGCTCAACCTGGGCTTCATTCATTCATGACTACCGTCCTACAAGGTGGTGATCAATGAAAAAATTAATTTCTCATCATTCAGAAATATACTATGCCCTAAAAGATATATGTCATTTTTATAAAATCATTGACACGTACTTTTCTAACCCTCAGAGTGCACTGAAATTTACTATAGTCACCAAGCAAGGGCATAAAGAAGTTGATTCATCTCAGGTTAACACACTCTTAGAAGAAAAACATAAGCATATGCCAGAACCTGCAGGGAAATTATCAGGGCTGAGGAGATTAAATTGTCAACAAACCAAAAAAAAAAAAAAAAAAAAATCATTATGCTGAAAGTTTGCTGAGGACAGGAATTATGTTTCATGCATTACTATTTCTAGCGCATGGCACCAGTCTGCTATCTGGTAAGTATTCAATAAATGTTTAACTGATATTATTGAGGAATAAAAATGTATGTTGGCAAAGGGGTAGGAGAGCATGGTATCTTACTACTAATTACTGCATTTTTAACAATGGGAAATCATTTTTGTCTTTTTAGGCTGACAATATAAATAATCACTCTAGCAAAAGGAAACAAAATGAGAAAGTCAAATAGAAATAGCGATAATCCAACAGATGATTAACAGACCATTATGTTCACAGTTATCTTTACAGAATCAACACAGATCCACAGGAAAAATTATAGTGAATGAGAACCCAAGAAATAATCTAGTCCCACTATAATATTTTGTAGATTAAGGAAATCAAAGTGAGAAATTTAAATTGATTTGCTAAGCCATGGACAAGTGGGTGCAACATTGTCACAACTAGAAATCTTTATGATTTAGATCTAGGATCTAAGGATCTAGGAATCCTTTACTCTTAATGATGTGAAAATAAATACCTAGATAACCTGAAGCAAAAAGGTCAGATAACATCTCCAGAGTTGGTACCGTGAGAATGGTATCACAAGTCACGCTATGAGCTCTTCCAAAACGTATGAGCAAGGCTTTACCTCATCAATTTAAGACAGACACACATAAGAGTGTAAGTCAGGACATGGGAACAGATTACCAGAATTGAAAAATGCAGACTGTATCTAAACCAAGAACTTCTAGAAACTCTGAGGTGTTTATCAGCCATCCATAGCTTCTTGGAATTGTCATGAGTCCAAATGATTCTAATCTCATCACAGACTGAGAAGGAATTCACTGGAAGTGCAAACAGCCCCAACAGCCCTCAAGGGGCAGCTTACAACACCTTGAAAGGAGACTGGCAAAACAAAGCATTAGCCGAAGTGCAATACCAGGCCTTTGGCCAACTGAAGACATTTTTACTGTTTTCTGGGTCTTATGATAACATATTAAGATCTAAAAGAGGGGAAACATAAAGCCAAAGAGAAACTATCAAAATCCTGCAGACAAGGAAAAATGCAGAAATGCTCTAAAGTAGCAAGTGACGCTCATCTATTATATATTAGTATCTATTTAGAATTATTTATGATATAGAGGAAGACTCCATTTGTTAGAGTCAGAAGCCCTGGGTACTGTGAAGAATTCTGTGAAGAATCACTATGGATTAGATGTTTAACAAACAAAACAAAAACTCACACTGATCCAAGATTTAGCAGATATAAAAGCTAGGAAATTTAGAGTATATCACTTTCTAATAAATGGTTTTTAATATTAGCTTTCTAACAGATGTATGTATATTTAAGAATACATAGAAACCTTCCAAAGTATAAACTACAAAACTCCCTAAAACACATTTAACATACCAATGTTCAAGTGGAAACTTTTGTTTCAACTACTACTGTCTTCCTTAGTTGCTTGGAATATATTTTTTAGGATATAAATTATTATTTTATGAGCCAGCAGGTGGCTCCAATCTCATTCTATGCACTTGCCTTATGAGGTTTTTGTCATTATACAAACAGAAATTTAAATAGCTCAATTCTAATAATAAGTTCCCTTTATGGACACACCACTTTTTCAAGCTGGATTATTACTTAATATTGCATTTTTAATAATTTCATTTTATACTAGAATTCAAAAGGAAAAGATTTGGATTGATGTCACAAATTTTAGTCTGTGTAAATGTCAAAGCTATTCTAATTTTGTTCTAACCTTCTGAAGATGAGGAACCACAATGCCCACCCTATGTCCTCCAAACCATAACCAAACATAAAAGGAAAAGCAAGGAAAACTAAGTTCAAACTAGTTTAAAAGTTCTGTTCCAGTGTGTCGAACTGACCACAGATTTCCGCATCAGGTCTTTCTCATTCCATGAATCAAAACCAGGAAAAGACACATGAAAAGTTAATTATAAATAAATTCCCAGAGGCCCAGCCAACTACTTTTTAGGAGCTTACTAGATGTTTATTCCTTTATTAAACTGTACTGCGTACAGAGGAAGTAGGAATCTACCAAACACCAATCGCCCAGTGGTATAAATAAAAACATGAATATCATAATTAGTAAACATGTAAAATAGAAATAGGTGTGTGTCTGAGTGTGGGAAAGACAGCCCGTTAAGGGGAGCTCCTTTTCTTCCTCTTTCCATACTAAGAAACTCCCAGCCACACTTCACCACTATCCAGTAAGTGCCTAAAAGGAAGTCAGTCTTCTATTCATCCCTAAGTTGCTCCTTTCTTTCTGATGGGTAGTGGGGACAGTGTGGGCATGTGAAATCCCATTTTGGTTTCGGGGCTGAGCTACACTCTAAAGGAAAGCCAACTGCAATACAGTGCAATGAGACACTCGGAAAATGAGCGATTACCTTCTCCTCCATAGAGGTATAATGAACATAAAACACTGCACTGTTGAGAATCATATTATAATAGAAAATATGAATTAAGAAAATGAAATAGTTTATAATATCAAGGAAATACCATGAGTTCATATTAAAATAACAGGTGCCCTAAGGTCCAGGAAATAAAAATTTAAAAACAGATATAAAAGGTGCAGAAAGATGCAGAAAAGTTACAAATAAGGTAAATTAATCCTATGGTCAACATGATAAATTAGCAGATTGGAGGAGACTGAAGACAAAAAAGAAGCAAGCTTACTCAAGTTAACAGAAGTAGAACTTTACAACACACAAGGGAGTGTGCTCAGAGAGCAGATAAGCCGAAGTGGAACAAATCAGAGTCACATACACGGCAAAAATGGCCATCTAGCAAAATCCTTGTCTGCTAGTTTGGGAATGCATGATCTCCAGTCAGGAAGAGAAGACTCAATGTTCCTTGAGTATCGGGAAACTAACTTCGGCATCGCAGTTGTTAGGACGATACCAAGGCATGTCAAGCACTCAAGAGAAGTTTGATGGATAGAAGAATGATGGATAGATTAAAGGCATCTCTCTCCTCATGGCACTAATGGTATGCTTCTCTAAAATATACACAGGGATAAGCCTTAGACAATGAGTCTAACACAGAAAAGCAGCACTGTCATTATTTTTTCAAAGGTATTATGCTACTGCTGCCATAAGAAAATCATGTAACACTTTTGTTTTAGGGCGTGACTAATATAGATTCTTAAAGTGGCAACGAATATTAGTGCTTCATATGCAATTAAACAAATTAAAATCTAACAATGTTATCAAAATTGACATCCAATGAGGGAACAAGAACCACCAATGTACACAGAGGCTAACAAACGAAGCACTATTTAGTACTACATAAATAATTCAGAATATCTTTGAATGAGTTGTAATTCATTTCTTAAGACCAATGACAAGGAATCAAACTGACATCAAGGAAATAATAAAAATTTAGCAAAAAA